TGGAGCTGCAGTGGCAGGACGTGCTGGCCCTGGGGATCTCTCCCAGTCCTGCTCTCCTTCCAGGCTGGAGTTGATTCAGTGGGGATGAAATCATCCCTGTGGTTTCGCATCTCCAGTGAAGAAGTGAATGGAAAAGGCACAGCCTGTTCCCAGAATAGCTGCTCTCTGTCACCAGAGCAGGAATATATAGGAATGGGATGAGAATATCCTGCACCACCAGCCCAACCCTGCCCTGAAATCCAGCTCTGCTCCCCCAGAACCCTGCTCGGGGCTGGCTCAGAAGTTTGTTGTGAGCGACAGGCTCGAGCTGAGATCCGAGTCTGCAGCACTGAGAGAGGCTGAGCCCGTGGTTTTATCTGGGAGAAGGGTTTTTGAACCCAAAGAAAGCACAAATCAACCCCCAAATCCTGGGGTTCCCTCTCCAAGCAGAGCCCAGGAGCTGCTGCCCAACGCTGGGAGCTGTCACTCACGAGCGGGTGGCTCCTGCTGAAGATGCAATAACATACCCAGGGGCCCATCTGTTGTTTTTCCTTCTCCCTGACTGTATTCTGAGCTGATGGAGAGACCCTCCTTCTCTGCAGGGTGCCCTGCTTTATCCACAGGCACCCAGCCAGCAGCAATCACCCCCACTCTGATGGCAGAGGGCAAAGGGGGTTGGAGTTTTGCAGATCCCAGTCCCTCTTCCCCCGAAACCTTCCCTGAAATCCTGCACTATCCCCCCTGGAAAGGCAATGGCAGATGCAGCTTTGGTGTGGCCAAGTTTTCCCGAGCTGTGAATGCAAATAAACGGGAAGAAAATGACGGGTGAATGAAATTGTGGATGTTCCCCCCCGGGGGTACGACCCTAAAAGGGTGATGGGTGAAGGGGGGTTGGGTTTTGGGATGCAACTGGGGAAAAAGAGTCTCCAATCCCAAACTGAAAACACTGTCAATGCACAGGAGTCCCATGTGTACAATCTGCAGGAGAGTTTAATACAACTACCTTAGAAAACCAGCCCTTCCTCAGGCTTGTGTCCATCACTCCAGCTCTTCCATAGCAGCCTTCACCCTGGAAAATCCAGATCCCACAGGAGCCCCCTGGATTGTGTCCCCTTCCCCAGCGTGTTTGTGCCATTAGCTTCCAATACCCAAATGCCATTAGTCATTTTTCCACCTGTCCCCAAAAATCTCCATGTCTCTCTTGACAGATAAATGAAGTCAGAATTATTTATGGCAAGAGAGGGAGACCAGAGCTTAATCCAGGAAAACCTTTAATTGCTCATAAATCAGGTTTTACAGGGCATTCATTTAGCCCTGATTGATATTCTTTTGTTAGGATCTGCATCCAGCACACTCGGAGAGAGACTCCCAAGCAGAATAAATACTCTCACCAAAGCCTCTTGTCTACACACCACGGGGACAGGCCCTCTAATGTGGATAAATTAATAAACTCAGGGGTTTTAGTGCCAGATGGAGGCATTCTCACTGCTGCTCTTCCCCTGAGTATCATCAGCTGTGGAATATCTCCCCGTGGCTCTTGCTTTGAGCCTCATTCCCTGCCTGAGCTTTGCCTCGATGCTGGCAGGGTTTGGGATGGGGCTTTGGGGGGGAGGATCAGAGGAACCCTGAGCTCATGGTGAGGGGCAAAGCAGGTCACTGCCAGCTCTGGGACAGGGCTGGAAAGGGGGTCTGTCATGGGCCAGATGCTCCCTGGGGGTTTCACTCGTGGCTTGGACTGAGGATGGGTCTTATCCCAGGGAAAGCCCTCAAGGTGGAGCAGGGAAGAAGCTCTCCAAGGGTGCCTGGAAGTCAGAGCAAACAAAGGCAAAGGGATCCTTTACACAGTGAAGGCAGGGGACAGGCAGGGCTGGAGACACCCTGAACACCTCCAAGCACGTTGGAGGGGCAGCCCCTTCAGTGAGGCTGCTCAAAGCCACCTCCAGCCATGGCTGTGGCATTGGCAGGACCTGCTCTGCCCCTTCCCTTCCCCCTCCACTGGTGCTGCTCTGCCACCCCGGGTTGGCATCCAGCTCTTTTAGCACTCCCTGTGTTTAACACCCGAAGTCTGTCTCAGAGCCCAGAGCAGGCTCCAGCCCAGCCCAGTGCCCCAGGGAACCTCACAAAGGCCCAGGGCAGTGGCTGCTCAGCCCTGTCCCAGAGTGTCCCGGGAAGTCTTTCCCATTCCACACCGAGTGTTGCCGAGGGCAGCGGGCCCAGGGGAGCAGGACTGATGGGTGACAACAGTCCCTACAGCAAGGACACCTCCAGGGTGGCTGGTTTGAACCCCCTCAGTGCCAGTGATCTCCCCAGCTCCATGCAAAGCTCGTGCTGCTCCATCCCACAGATCGCTGGGCTCTTCCATCCCAGCGCTGCCGGCAGTGGGAAGCCCAAGCCCCATCCTGGATTGCTAATTAGGCTCAGAGCCCCATCCTGGATTGCTAATTAGGCTCAGAGCCATCCCTCTCACTGCTCAGAGCTGCCAGCCCTCCCTGCCACACACATCCCATCTTGTCTGAGGCAGCAGGACATCAGGGGGGCAGGGACAGGCCTGGCTCTGGGTACCACAGTGCCAGGGGATGACGCTGGAGTCGGATGTGGATGTGTTAATTAATGGATGTGGATGTGTTAATTAATATCCGTGGATTGCTTTGGAGAGGGAAAGCACTGCAGGGGGCTATTAATTCCTAATTGTTATTAATTGAATGTTGCTGCTAGGTCAGTGGCAGGTCAGAGAGACCATGTGTGTGTGTGACTGTGCTGCTCACCCCCCCCCAGTGCTGACCCTGTCTCAGCTCACTGTGCTGCATCCCCTGGCCCAGGGGACCTGCCACCCCTGTGCCCCTCACAGGCACGGGGAACAACTCAAGATATACAGTGGTTTTTTGGAGCCCTGGTTGCCCCAGGACGTGGCTGGTGCATCCCCATAGGCTGAGAGACTCGAGGCAGATGTTCCTCATTGCCTCAGGTTCCCTTCTGGGCCAGGCTGGGTGTGGTGGGTGGTGGGACATGGACCACAGTGGGTGTTTGCCGTGGGTGGGATGCAGCAAACACAGCAGCAGTGTCAGGGTTTGGTGTCTGAGCCGTGCAGGGAGGACTGGCTGGTCCTGCTGCACAAAATGTGGGGCTGAAAGGCAGGAGCTGGGGCTCCTCGAGGTTTGAGGTTAAAGCAGCACCCTCAGCATCTGCTGTGTGTGAAAGGGGGACGTCAACAGAGCCTGGCAGGGAGCTGGGTGGGTGCTGAGGCACCAACAGCAGAGACATTGGTGGTTTCTGATGGAGGAGAAACTGCTACCAGTGTGGGCCCTCATGGGGCCAGTGCAGCTCCCAGCAGAACCCCCCATCCCCCTGGGAGCAGCTCCCGGGGCTGACTGGGACCTGCTCCTGGAGGAGCAGATTGCCTTCCTTCCCGGGCAGCCGAGCGCTCAGCTGGAGCTCTCCAGGATTTTGGCAGCCTGGGAGGGATGGGAGAGCTCTCCCCACTGCAGAGCAGGGTTTGGGGGGGCTGGGGGGGCAGAGGGACACAGCCCCTCTCTGGCCTGAGCAGGACCCACTGCCGTGAGGGGGCTGGTGAGGTGAGGTTGGCTCAGCCCGGCCAGGCCGGGCCCTGCTGGGAGCCAGGTGGCATCTTACGGCAGCGATGGCCTGGCAGGAGCAGCTCCTCAAGGACAGAGCTTTGACCTGTTCTGGCTGCAAAGCCCGGGGAGGGGTTGCAGGGACCCACAAAGAGCAGAACAGACGAGACCCTGCCCGTCTGGTGCCAGCTCAGGGTGGGTTTGGCTGGGGCAGATCCCCCTGCAGCTGCCACTTCCCCCCAGCTCATCCCCCTCCACGGGCTGGCACGAGTGGGACAAAACCTCTGTCGAGGGCTGTGGCCACATTGCAGCGAGACAAGACTCAGAGCCTGGCAAAAAAAAGCTCTCAGCGTTTGTTCTGGTTTTGGGGAACGTTTTTTTTCCCCCTTCCTTTCTGCCTTCTGTAGCTGTTTGAGCTCGTTTGCAAAGGCTGCGAGGAGCCAGCGACTCAGCTCCATCCACACCCCGCTCGAGCTGCAGCTCGGGCCATGTGCTGCTCCATGTGCTGCTCCGTGCCAAGACCTCTCCCTGTGTCTGGAAGGAGAACGGGCACTGCCAGGCTGGAGCAGGCTGTGATTAGGAGAAACCCATCCAATTAACACTTGAGAGCCTGCTCAGGTAGGCAAACCATCCCAGCCCCTTTGGGGATGGACCCTTTTGTCCCAGCTACCCGTGCAAAGAGCCACCAGGTCAGTCAGGCACGAGCTGTGGGCATCCAGGCAGGGGGAATAAAGGGGTGCAGACCCCCTACACCTTGTTTACTCCACTTCTGGAGTTTGGATGGTCTCAGCCTTCAGAAAGGAGACACAGGAGGTGCTGGGCTCCTGCAGGACCAGCCCCCCAGGAGCTCCACGCAGCTCCCAGGGTGGGGTTCAACTCCTGGATCCCCTGTGCCATCTGGAGCAGCCACAACAAGGGAGCTATTCTCAGCTCCAGTTCTACCTGACATCTCTCTTGCTGTCAAAACCAGCTTCCCAAAGCAGTTAAACAATTGTTTGGAAAAGAGCAAGTGGGTGCTGAGCTTGTCTGCGTGTCTGAATAAATCCTGCTAATGCTTCCTAAGGCCCAGGGAAGGCTGGGTGTGCCAGCCAGAGCAGACAGTGTTTCTAAGGCTGAAGGGCAAGAGGAGGAATGTCTTCTACCTGCTCAGAGCAGTTTGGGAGTTAAATGACCCTTGGGAAGGGGGATCAGGCACTAGGGACCAGCCTGGCTGGTGGGGAAGGTAAAGGTTGTTGTTCATGACATTGGTTCCACGTGGGATGACATCCAACCCCCCACCCCAAGGAGATGGGAGCTCACCTGCCAGCAGAGGAGGTGCAGCCCTTCCTGCCTCCAGGCTCGGGGCTTTTCCCAAGGGATCTGTGCGTGGTGTATTTTGGGGCACAGCTCTGCCTCTCAGTCAGTGGGTTTTCTCCAGGGGGTTTGCTCAGTCCTTGCAGGGAAGGTGAAAGAAGTGGAGTTCAGCCTCATCCATCAGCCCCATCCCCTGAGCAGAGGGGACAAACCTGTCTCTGAGCCAGAGGAGAAAGTGGGCAGCTGGTCAGGTAGAAATCTCTGTTCTTCCAAACCCCAGGTCCCCTCCCTCCCCCATCTGGGACTCACAGCACCATCCCTGTGCCACCCTCGCAATCCCTGCATCCCTGCAATTCCCTTTCTTGCTTTAATTTCCCCAAACTCCTGCAAAGGCACGATAATTCAATAGTTGTTTTTCCAAAATAGCTCCCCATGCACAGAGTTGATGGTTTTCACTCTTAGCAGAGCAGCAGGGATAGATCCTGATCCGTGCTTCCCGACACAATGGGATTTTGGTGTCTGCTGACAATTCTCCTGGGAAAAAAAAAAGGCTTTACCAGCCCTGGTTGTCTGTGGATCTGATCTCCTTAAGGATGTGTATGAACATCTTCCACTGACAGCTTACAAGGCTGGGATTTCAATAAGGGATTGCAAATCCGAGCGCGGCGTCAGGCTCGTCGTGTTCCCCCTGCCTGCTCCCGGGATTCAGAGATGCAAAACCCAACAGTGTTGATTAAAATGCTAAAGAGCACAAGCTCTCCACCACCACTCAGCAGGGGCTGTGCAGGAGGGTTTGCTGAGGAGGGGTGTGTAGGGCAGGAGGGGAACAAAGCAGAGAGCTGGATGAGCCCTGGGAATCCACCCTGCACCTGGATATGTGTCCACTGTGGGGGTGGCACCCAGCAAGCCAGGCTCACATCCGACCCGAGGAGGGCTGTGGGGCTGGGGAAGCAGCATATTGCCCATCTAACCCTGCCTGGGGTCTGCTCTCTCCCCGTGCAGGCGTGTCTCCTCTGGGACAGCCGGGCTGCAGCCTCCATCCAGGAGCAGTACTGTGAGAGCCTGGCACCTGCCACCAACCACAGCGGTGAGTGTCCCCCCTCCCCAGCCACCCCAGCCCCCCCAGTGGTGTCTCTGGGGTGTCTCTGGGCAGATTTGCAGCTGCCTGGACCCCTTTTGGGGAGGTGGGATGTGCTGAGGCTGTCACAGCCCCGTGTCACTCCTTGTGGGGTGACACTTGAGGCAGGTGGGAGATGCAGAGCTCAGGAGAGCTAAAACCAGGGGAAATAAGTGTCTGTTGGGCTGGGCTTTGGGGGGAAGTGGGCAAAGAGACATCTGTCCAGCCCCTGATCCCTCAGTGCCCATTCTCTGCCATGCCCAGGGACACCTTTGTCCCCTATGTCCACCCTCCTCTGCCCTCCCCCTGCCCAGGGGTGGTGGCTGGAGGTTGTGACCTTCTGTGGAGATGGTGTCACCAGCACAGTGTGGCCACCAAGTGCCACCCTCCATCCCCAGCACTCCCAGACATGGGCCACTGAGCACTTTGGGAGGTCACCAGCCACGAGGAGCTTCTGGGGATGTGGCCATGGCCAGGGCTGGCACAGCCAAGCTGGGTGGCAGCAGCAGGGTCATGAGCAGCTCACTCCTCCTCAATGTTGTCCGTGGGTTTGCATCCAATCAGGTCAGGGCTTGTGCCAAAAGTGGCTTTTAGCCTGTATTCGGGACGTGACTTGGATGCCACCTCAGCAGTGACAGGTCTGGTTCAGTGACAGGTTTTGGGGGAGGAGAGGTGTGAGAGAGAGAGGAACTCACAGGGACAAGGAGAAAAGTCCTCCCCAGCTCAGGGATGCTGCAGGGTTTGTTTTCCCATGACTGAATGAAGCCACCAGGGTGAGGGATGGCCACGGGCACCCAGCCCTGATGGATGGGTGCCCCCCACCCAGCTCCTGTTAACAGCAGCATTACAGACTCCTTCCTGACAAACCACAGCTGATTCAGTGCCTGGCCAAGCCCAGGCCACCACAGAGCCCTGCAAGGAGCATCCCAAATCCCAAGAGGTGAAGGCAGAAAGCCTGTGGAGAGAATGGCAGTGCCTGGGTGTCTGCTCAGGAAACCTGGTCATCACTCATGTGCTTTGCTCCCCGAAGGTTTCATCACTCTGCTGCTTGAAGTGCTGTGCTTGGCTGTGTTGGGCTGGGATAAATGCTGACCCAGGGCAGCAGGCAGGTCCCAGAGAATCCTCGTGGCCTTTTCCACCCGCTGCTGGAACCTCCCAAGCCCAGGAGAGAGAGCAGAGAGGGGGGAGAATTTCTGCCGTGGTTTGCTGATGGATGTGCCCTGCAAAAATCACCCCCATCCCCAAGCAGCGAGAGCTGCTTTCTGCAAGGACTGGGCTTTGCTCAGTGGGGATTTCTCAGCGTGATTCCAGGCAGGATTTAGTGCCCCTCGGTGCCCATCGCTCTGGCACAGGGGACAACTTGTCACGTTTCAAATCTGCGCAGCGTCCGTCGGCTCCACGCACCCGACCTGCCATCCCCGAGCAGCTCATTAATTTGGGATGGGGCTGGCACACAGGAGAGACACTTCCAGCTGCAGGAGGGGGCTTAGAACAAGAGGCAGAGATAAACTAATTGTCTTCTGTCTGCGTGGTAAGCGGAGCTCAGCGCCGGCCCCGCTCCTTGGGGTCCATTTAAGCCCAGCGTGGTGGAGGCAGCGATTCCCACCGAGGGATGTTTACAGAACTGGGAACTTTGTTTGGAGGCTGTTTAACATGGAGAGCTGCTGGGATGATGCTAATGAGAATTGCAGCGAGGCAGTGAGACTTAATTTGTGAGTGCCTGCACAGCCCTTGGGAAATGGCACATGCTGAGAACACGAGCCCAGGGCTCCCCCAGCGCGGGGCTCGGCGGGGGATCTGTTGGATGCACACAGGGGCATTGCCTTGTGCCTGTGTGCAGCATCCCCCCTCTGAAAAACAGCCCAGCGTGGGCTCTCCTCCTCCCCCAGGCCACCAGTCCCTTCCTTACTTGATGTCCCAGGTTTTGAGGAGGATGTGTGGCCGGCCAGTGATGTCACCAGGGTGCCAGCGCTCCCTGAGACACATGCACTGAGCTGGGAAGGTCTCTGCCACAGCAGTGGGGTGGGGGCAGACTGGGGTGGTGCTCACCAGGTTTGGGCAGTGCAAGCAAACCCTCATCCCAGGAAGTGGAACAGCTGAGCCCCACGGAGCTCCCCTGGCCCTGCCCTCTTATCACCATGGCTTTACCCACCTTCTCCAAGTGCCCTTCGAGTCCCCTTGGACTGCCTGCACAGGTCTGATGGTCCAGCTTGATATTTTAGGTATCCATCAAAAATACCTCTTGGTGAGCCCCTGGCCAGGGCACCCACACCCAGCTGGACACTCCCTCAGAAAGCTGCATCCCACAGGAGCAGTGAAGCAGGAATATCAGGCTGGACTCGAGGCCAGCGTGGGGCATTCGGAAAGTAGGATCTGCTGCACCCCCAGGCAGCTGAAAGCCAAGAAATTCCCAGCTCAGGCCTGAGAAGGACCACAGCGAGGATCAGCAGCCCTTGTCTGCGGTGGATGGGTGCTGTCCCAAGGGCTCCCAGCCCACACATTCCCTGGATTTCCCTCGCTGATGGTTTCAGCTCCCCGGGCTCTGTGCGCGGCTGCTCCTCACTCTGCCGCAAAACCCACTGAGGAGGTCCTTTCATCCACCGAGGGGCAAAACATCCCCCTGCAGCTGCAGGATGGCTTCCCTGGGGAAGGGAGGGGGAATCTCAGCAGATGGGAAAACCTCTTCCTCATGAATACCGAGGCTTTTCCACAGCAGCTCAGCGGGAAGCACTCGAGCAGAGCGAGCTCGGAGCGCTCGTGCAGCTGCTTTGCTGCTCGGAGCTCTCAAGCCTGGGATCAGCCCAAGGAGTTGCCACCCAACTGCCAATATCCCTGTCTGGTCCTGTCTGCATGATCCACTCCTTTAAGCTCGTTACCACAATAAATTCTTATCCTCAATCCCGTGTGTGTGCTCAGGAGAGAGGGGGGAGTGCAGACAATTCCTTCTCAGCAAAGAAACATTTCCTGCCACTGGAAGTTCACCTAAAGCAAAAAAAAAATGACACCACGGCGAGGCAGAACTGAAAAGAAATGTCTGGGTTGGTTTTTTTTTTGGTTTGGTTTGGTTTTTTTGAACTGGAGGTTTTTTCAAGGGGGAAATGGAGCGTAGCTTTGCACTGAATAAAGCAAATTTAATTGGTCCAGATACAGCAAAACCCTGTGGCTGAGGAGCAGCGAGTGATGAGAACATTTCCTTCACAGGCACTTTATCAGACAGGTTTGGTAACACCTTTCCCAGCGGGTGACAAGTTTGACCAAGAGCTTTTCCACCCACTCCAGCTCAGCTCCCCAAAGCGCTGACGCTGCTCCAGCAGCTCTCGTGCCACTGCTCTTCCATTCACTCCCTGACTCCCCTGGGGTGAGACTGGAATTTAAATTCAGAAAGGTCAAATTAACAGCATCAGTGCCTCTTTTCGCTTCAAGCCTCGTTGGCATCTCTCCCACCAAGGCAGAAATATTAGTAAAGGAGCTGAGCAGGGGCTAAAGAGGCAGGGATTGAAGGAGAGACATGGGAACCAAAAAATGGGAAATCACCTTATATGGAAAACCATCATGGTTTGAGTGTGTACTGGCATTGATAAAGCCATCCTGTTCCATCATCTGGGAAAGAGGGATGTCAGCAGCAACTCCCTCATATTCATAGATTTTATTGTAGTGGAGGAGGGAAGATGATGAGGTTTTCTGGTAGGAAACAGTGTCCTGGCACAGCCCAGAGTGAGCAGCAGCCCCAGCAGTAAAACTGCACTTTGCAGGGGGTGCAGAGAAGTCCTTGCCAGCTGCTCTGTGCAGTTGTAGCCAAACTAGAAGGCTCTGTCAGGAAAACTCTGCCAGGGAGGGACTGTGCTGCTTCTCTCACCCACCACCAAACCCCAGCCAAAACCAGGGAATGAACCACTTGCTGCCATTCTTGGTTATAACACAAATCCCACCACTCCTGAGATGGGGGTCATCTCAGGAGAACGTGATACACCCCAAACCCAACCCTCTACATTTTATATTCAGTAAATTTACATGCTGTTCATGGATCAGCCTTAAGTGACAACAAGCCAGGCTTGGTGACTCCTATTTATTCTCCTCCAGAGCAGCAGCAAAGACTCGAGGGGACAGTCAGTGATGGTAAATAGCAACAAGCCAAAAATTCATTACAAAGACACTTTGCTATCATAACATTTAATTAGCCTGGGTAATTATTTTTCATGGAGAAGTGTGGGACTTGAAACGCTTGGGAGGATTGCTGGGGATTTTTTTAAGGACTGGAGTCTGACAAAGGTAAATAGAGGCACCCAGTGCCACCAAAAGTAGTGCTGGAAGCAGAGTGTGAGTGGGGATGTACTTTGAGGCAACCAGAGTTGCTCCCAGCCATCCTGAGGCCCCAGCCCTGCCTCAGAGGGAAGGCAAGCAGCTCCACCAGCCCAATCCTACCCCATGTTAACATGAATTGTCCCCCACTGCCGTTTCCCTCGATGCCTCATGGGCGATGTGCAGCATTTAACACCCGAGTGGTCCCACGGGAGACACGGAGCCGCCCCTCCCTGGCACATCAGAACCTTGAAATAAAAACATCCCTCCCCTAAAGGCCCTTGTTTTGGGGCAATAAGGTGTGAAACGGCTCTTTCCGCTCCCCCAGGGCGGTGGAGCTGCCTGGGAGGGATGAGCAGCTCTTTGTGCCTGCGCTGCAGTGAGTGTATCTTGATTAGATGTGGAGATGAAGCCCTGATTGCCAAATGCAAATGCTGCAGCAGACACACAGGGGACAGGCTCGGGGGCTGAGGCGGCAGCAGGGCAGTCACGGGGGACATCAGGGATGGACAGAGAGAACTGCGGTTGAATAAGAGCTCGGGACAGGTAGTGATAGGAGTTAACAACGTTCAGCTGTTCCTCAGCCTCTGGAGACACCTCGGATAAATAACCCCGTCACTCCTGTGATTCAGATTTCCATCCTCTCTGCCGGCTCCTTTGCGTTGCAGAGGGGGAGGGAGGCGTCACCCTCGGACCAGTCACAGCAGTGTCTGTGCCCAGCAGCAGACTGGGATGGGGCAGAGCCTCCACTGGGGCACAGCTTTGCCCAGGGGAGACGAGGGCGTGTTTACCAGCACTGTTTTATCAGCACAACCTTTGCTTTCCTCCTCTGGTAGCACAATAACCCTTCAGACCTCCTGGCACCGGCTCAGGAGCACCGTGGCCACGCGTCTGGTGGTGCTGGCCCAGGATAAACACGCTCCATCCTCTTTACATTCACTCAGAATCTTTTGGCAGGTGAAGCCGGGGCTGGAGAGCTTTGCCCTGCCGGGATTCACTCGGGTGTGTGGCTTTAGCTCGCAGCCATCTCGGGGGGACCTCTGCGAGTGCTGGGAGCAGGCTGGAGAAGGATGTTTTCTAGAAACAGATGGGATATTTCTATAGTTATCCTGAGACAGTTATTGTGATGTAGTTGTCTCAGTGTAAGTCCCTGGACAGGCACTTTTTTTCCCGCAGAAGAAAGTAAATGCTTTATACTGCTTGCAGTATTTCCAAAGGCAATGGAGTGAGAAGGGATTGGAGTGACTTCCCCTGTGCCACATTCCCCAAAAAGGGGAATTCAAAGCAGGACCAGCTAGCTCCCTCCTACCCCAAATTCCATGTTTTTGTGCGGGAAGAAGCCAAATCAGGAGGATTTAGTGCAGGTAGGAAATTCATTTGACCCTTCCTGCTGTAAATCTGCAAAACCCAAACCTGTGCAGCCAACAGAGCTGAGAGAGCGGGAGCAGCCGCCCAGGGAACCGGGAGGATAATCCCCCTGCAAACAGGGATGGGCTGCCGAGCAGACAGGGAAGCATTTAGCACTGATACATGTAATTTCCATGCTAAACAGTGCTCCGAGTGCTGGGAGCCGTGTGCCACTGGGAGCAGCTGGAGCAGAGGGGATCTCGCAGCCCTCACGGCGCTCTTTGCCTTTGCTGTTTTACTTAACCCTTCCCCAGCAGGAGGGGTTTTTTTCCCTTCCCCACGTGCTGGAAGAGCAGGAAGAGCTGGAGAGCTGCTTTCTGCAGCTTCTCTTCATCCAGCATCTCTCAGCGTGAGCCTGGGAAAAGAATCCCAGCCACCCACTGGATTAAAAACTGGTGGGACAGACCCAGAAATCAATGCAGGGGCAAAGCCTGCTGAGCACAGGGTGAGGTCCCAGGAGCACCCACAGCCTGGTGAGCACCTGACTGCACCCCCTGACCCAAATGTCACCCCACAACACAGCTCTGAGCCGTGGGATGAGGAGGGGGTTGGGCTCCTGGTGATGCTGCTCCACCTCCCCTGTGGTGGGACTGGTGGGACCTCCTGGGTTTGTCACCTGGTGGGTGGGTGTCTGTCACACTCTGCCAGTGCCACACGGCATTAAATCAAGCACCTGGGAGATATTAAAGCCAGACTCGAGCAGATGTGTCACCGAGTGACGCCACCTCTGTCTGGCCACATCATCTCCAGGGGTTTATCCTGGTTTAGTTATTCCTGGTGCTGCTGATGGAGAACATCATCCTCGCTGCTCCCTGGCCCTGCTGACTTTTCATTTCCGACTCTCCTCCCTGAGCAGCCTCTGTCTGTGCCCCAGCACAGCCCCGGGATGCAGGAGGGAAGCTGAGGCACGAGGGGATGTGGGAAAAAATGGAGTTTTATTGGGCTCAGCCCCACCAGTCCCAGAATTGAAGGGTTTGGTGGCTGCATGAGCTGCTCTGGGCATCAGCACTGTCCAATCCCCACTTTTCTGGGCTGGGTTATTCCAAGTGAAGCTTTTCCCATTCCAGACCCTCAAGCAGCTCCTCACCTGGGTGGCTCCCAGGGAGAGCACTTGCAAATTAACTTTGTCCTCAGTCGAAGCAATTACTGCTTGTTTTTTCTTTACATGGCTGAATGTAATCATAAAATTTTAAACAGAGCCTTCATTTTTCTGTGACCCTCCATTTCTCTGTCAAATTTGGGTCAAAACAATGAAGGAACTCAATAAATGCAAATGGATGCAAAAGGCAGAGACGTTCACACGTGATTAAGGGCACCTTGTTTCCCTTGAAATAGAGGCTTAAAACAGTTAATTTAAAGGCAAGGTTGCCACAGCAACCCTACACATTAGCAAAGCTAAAAGCAAAGGTCATTGTTAAAATTAATTTCTCCCCACAAGCTCTGGGAGGCAGAAGGTAACACTCACCACGCTGATGCTTCCCTGTCTCACATGCTTGGAAGTTGTTTTCCCTTGCTAAGATGTTTGAGGAAAACAGTGGAAGTGCTGAAAATGTCCTCTGAGAAGGTCCAAAAATAACAATATTCCTCCATAAAAACCTCCATCGTATTAATAACACAGTTGTTGGTTTTTTTTTTTTTTTGTCACTCTTCAGCCAGCTCCATCCATAGGACTTTTTGGGAAAGGCATTCAAACAGCAACCAGGAATTCTGGGGGAGAGGAAACACCGTGTTCCTGCACCCAAGGAGCTGTGAATTGGAGTGGTTTTGCCTTAGGAAATGGCAATTCCTGTCTCTGTGCCAGCAGCACAAACATCTCTGCTATCCAGGAGTGGTTTGGACTGAACTCTGCCCCTTCCAGTGTCTCCTGCCCATCCATCTGCTGCTTGTCTGGGATCATATTATATGGATATTCCAGCCATTGTGCTTCCCACCTCGCTGGGAGATGGAGCAGGGACATATTTAGCTTCAGGACGTGTTGTTCTAAATATATACAATTTATACATAAAAAAGCCTGCAATCTGGCCTACCTAATGCCTACGTTAGCACACTCATGGAGCTGGGAAAAGCACACAAGTCCTTCTTGAAATCTGAAATAGAAGCAGCACATTTGGAGTCTTTTTCCCGGGAAAGGCTGGAAGAGACCAGCGGGAATGGCTGGGAAGGAGGGAGGGTTTGGAGCCAGGAGGTGTGGGAGGGCTGGAGGGGCTCTGAGGAGCATCCCAGCAGAACCAGGCTGGAGTCACCACCGGGGAAGAGAAACTCTGGCTCGTTGCCTGTTGTGGGGCCGGATGGGTGGAGGAAGGAGCAGGGCTGGAAGACCAGAGCTAGGGAACCTCCAGCTGATGTGAAGCCAGGGCTTGAGTCAGAATTGGGCTTAATCTGGATATTTAGGCAACACCAGGGTCACAGCCATGGGCAGGAGCCTTGGCACAGACCCCGTTTGGTGTCGGCCACGAAGTTCTCCTGGGGGCCGAGCTCCTGGGCTCATCCAGTGCTGCAGCCCCAGCTCTCCAGGCAAATCCTGACCCTGGAGGTGACCCCCAGAGCCCCAGTAACCCCGTGGCCTTGTCCCCACAGGTCCCCAGTGCAATGCCTCCGTGGATCTGATCGGCACGTGCTGGCCCCGCAGCGCCGTGGGACAGCTGGTGGCCCGGCCCTGCCCCGAGTTCTTCTACGGGGTGCGGTACAACACCACCAGTAAGAGGGGCAGCACCCCTGGGGACATACTGGGGGAGGGCTGGGGGACATGAAGGACACTGAGTCTCTGGGCACAGAGCTCTTTTTCAACCACAGAATCCCGGATTTCAGGGAAGGTGGTTTCACGGCAGCAGCTCCCTGAGCAGGTCCTCCTGGATGGAGGAGAGGAGAGGGCTGCTGTCCCCATCCTGGGGACAAGGGCAGAGGAGTGAGCCTGCCCAGCCACTGCAGGTGGCACAGGGGGTCTGCAGCTCCCAGCTGAGCAGGGACTGGGGGACTTTGCAGCACGAGAGCTCCCCTGGCTGCACTGTCACTTCCAGTGACGTGCTGGGAGCAGGGGACGAAGTGAAGGCACATAAAAAGTGCCCAAAGCCATTCCAAGCACAGGGTGAAGTTTCTGCCCACCCAAGTGCTGCTTTTGATTTAAAAAAATCCTGTTTCCCACAAAACCCATCAGTTTTTCCATCCCACACTCTGTTGCAGCAGTGCAGGATGACATGCACGGGGCTCCTGCTTTGTGGTGCCTCTGCTGCCATTGCAGGAGTTTCTCTGCACTAATCCTTACCTGTTCCTGCCTCCCAACCCTTCCCATCCCTGTCCCATCTCATCCCCTTGATGAGGCTCAGGGTTTCTCCTGTCAAAGGAAGCCCAGCATCACCCTAGTTCTGCCATCACTCCACTGCTCACACCAGCACAGGCTGCTCCAGGCTCCTCCTGGAATTCCTCTCCACTCAGCCTTTGCCACTCACTGTCCTTGCTGGGGGTCAAGAAGATCCTAATTCAAATTTTGGAGACATGGTGAGGGTGGTGCTATGGGAGGGACAGTTTTGGAAGTGGGTGTAACAGGTGAGGTAATGTCCAAATATTGTAATTGGAATCTGAATATTGTAATTAGGATCCAAATATTGGAATTAGATGATGGTGTAAAGTAGTTGTGAAGCCTGTGCAGCTCAGGGGGTGTGTGCAAATTATTCCTGTGCACCCTCAGTAGTAAAGGGGCACTTTTTGCCTTTTAATACTCAAATAGTCCAGAGATTTATTCCTCCTCCTTTAAGGCATCCCTCTCTTCCAGACAATGGCTACAGGGAGTGCCTCTCCAACGGGAGCTGGGCAGCCCGGGTCAACTACTCCCAGTGCCAGGAGATCCTCAGTGAAGAGGTAGGACCTGGGGAAGGCCCTCCCTGAGGGTGAGTTGGGAAAGGAGGCAGATCCAGGTCAGGAATGCCCAGTGGGAGCTCTGGCTGGGTGTGCAGCACCAGCCCAGATCTGAGGTTGCATGTGGCAATGGTGACTCCCTTTTTCATTTAGATTTGTGTTCTCTGTCAGAAAGAAAGCCTGTTTCCATCCCCATTAAAAATCCCAGGGAATTGGCAGTGTGAGGTCTCCAGGCATCTGGATACAGGTTCTTCAGCCCCATCACCCTCCTGACACAGCACTAAGGGCAAACCCCATCCTGCCCTGCTGACAGTGAAATAAAGGAGATATTTAGGAAGCTGGAAGGTATAAAAATCAGGGATCAGGAATTACAAGCCCCTGAGTGGTTCGAGCCACCCCTCAGAGCAGAGGGGAAGAGATAAGGGTTGTTCATTTGCAGCTGATACCACCTCTGGTATTTAAGATGCTGATATCTCTTGCCAGGAATGGTTTTCTCACTCAGTTAATTGCTAATTCACAGGTTGGATGAGTGCCTAACAGCAGGAGTGATCAATTAATTTAATTACCACTCACACCTTCCCTCTGCCCGAATCCATCCCAGCCTCTCAGCTACCCCCAGGGCAGGGGGGGATGAACTGAGACATCAGATTGCAGCGAGCTCAGCTCCATTCCAGCAGGGTTTCCCCAGAGGATGGGCTGGGGATGGCCCAGCTCTGAGCAGGGGTCAGGACTGGGATGTGAAACCAGGCTGGTGCCTCCCCTGCCCACATTACCCCCACCCCCTTCCATCCCTGCCCTGCCCCAGGGTGGGCTCCCTTTGATTTCTGAAAAAGGGCCCAAAATTCCCAGTGCAGCTCCCACGGGTGACGTGCTGGAGGAGGGGGGTTTGTGGGGCTGCTGTGGCTGCTCTGACCCCCTCCCCGTGTCCCCCCCCAGAAGAAGAGCAAGCTGCACTACCACATTGCTGTCATCATCAACTACCTGGGCCACTGTGTCTCGCTGGGGGCCCTCCTGGTGGCCTTTGTCCTCTTCATGCGCCTCAGGTGAGTGACACAAACGTGTCCCTGCTGGGGGCACGAGCCCAGGGAGGTCACTTGTTGGGCTGAGTGTCCTTGCTGGGACCCCAGGGGTGACCAGCTGGGGCCATGCCCTGGGTGAGGGGGGCAGGAAGGCGGCCAGGAGGGGGAAGGCACCAAGGAGCACCCTCAGCCTCCAGGTGCTTTCAAAGGAGGAACAGGCAGGGATGGACCCAGCCCCCGTGTTTTGCCGTATCCTCCCCCCTGGCCACTCCTGCCATGGAATCCCACAGGGATCATGCCTATCTCAGGGTTGTTTTCCTCCTTTGAAAGCCCCTGGTTATGGAGGCAGAGGGTGCCTTCCTTGGTGCCTTCCCCCTCCTTGTTGCTGTTCAAGTTGGGGACGGCCAGTGGGACACAGAATCTTCTTCCAAAGCAGGGACAGGATTACAAGAAGGCTGCAATCACTTTATTGCAACAGGTTGCAAACATTTGTACTTTTCACACATCACACATGTCAACTTTTGGTGCCTTCATATAAACATATATCAAGCTATACATGTCATCCTGCTGCTGGTACACATAGATCAGGTCATACTTGTCAGCTTAATTATTGGTATTTTTATGTACACACACATCAGGCCATATTCATATCAATCTACTATTGGTGTCTTGATGTATAAATAAATCAGGATTAGCTGACACAGTTTCTGTTGTGTCATGATGACTTGTAAAAAGTATAGGAAGTCCATTTTTGTCTTCCATCTTCTTCCTGTTTCAAAGTTGCCCACACTCCTCTGCATGCTGTGTTCTCCTCCTTTCAGGAGTGTACTGTAATCTGGTTTATGTCCACTGCTTCATGGATAAATGCCAGGCTGCTGACAGGCTTGCTGTCAACCCTGACACCTCCTGGCCTCCTTCCTGCCCCCCTCACTCAGGGCACGGCCCCAGCTGGTTGCCCTTGGGGTCCCACAAGGACACTCAGCCCCACAAACAGCCCTGTCCCCCTATCCACTGAGCTCTGATGGTGCCTCGTTCCACCCCTCTCCAGGAGCATCCGGTGCCTGAGGAACATCATCCACTGGAACCTGATCACGGCGTTCATCCTGCGGAACGCCACGTGGTTCGTGGTGCAGCTCACCATGAACCCGGAGGTGCACGAGAGCAACGTGGTGGGTGCAGCTCTGCAGGGCTGAGCCCGGCCCTGAGCAGCTGGGTGGGAGTGAGGGGATCATAGAATCATAGAATGATAGAATCAGCTGGGTTGGAAGGGACCTCTGAGATCATCAAGTCCAACCCCGCTGTGCTTCCCAGCCCATGGCACTGATGCCACATCCAGTCTCACCTTAAACACCTCCAGGGATGGAATCCACCACCTCCCTGGGCAGCCCATTCCAATGGCTGAGCACCCTCTCTGCAAAGAAATTCTTCCTAATCTCCAACCTAAACCTCCCCTGGCACAGCTTAAGACTGAGCCCCCTTGTCTTGCTGAGAGTTGCCTGGGAAAAGGGACCAGCCCTGACCTGCCTCCCCCCTCCTGTCAGGGAGTTGGAGAGAGCTACAGCCTCCTTTCCGGTAGTTGTAGAGAGGTTTCACATAGTTGTAGAGAGATCCTGAGATCAGAGAATCAGAGTGGTTTGGCTTGGAAGGATCCAACCCTCTGCCCTGGGCAGGGACACCTTCCACTAGCCCAGGTGGCTCCAAGCCCCGTCCAGCCTGGCCTTGGACACTTCCAGGGATCCAGGGGCAGCCACAGCTTCTCTGGGCAACCTGTGCCAGGGCCTCCTCACCCTCAGAGGGAACAATTTCTCCCTAAAATCCCATCTAACCCTCCTCTCTGTCAGTTTGAGGCAGATAGGGCTGTGTGGTGGTTGGAGGACAGCCCAGGCGCGTGAGAATCACAGGTTCAGCTGCTCTGCTGGTGCATTGGTTTCCCCACTGCAACCCAGAGCTCTGGAGGCTCCACATCTCCTCCTGGCAGGTCTGGTGCCGCCTGGTCACTGCTGCCTACAACTACTTCCACGTCACCAACTTCTTCTGGATGTTTGGGGAGGGCTGTTACCTGCACACAGCCATCGTGCTCACCTACTCCACCGACAAGCTGCGCAAGTGGATGTTCATCTGCATCGGCTGGTGTGAGTCCCAGGGTGCCCCCTCCACCCCCTGCTCCTATTCTTGCACCCAAATATCCACCAGGAGCAGGAGGGTGGGATTTGCACTGAGGGAGCCCCTGTTACAGCGGGATTTTGTGGTGTTGCCCCCCCTTGTCGCTGTTAAAGTCAGGGATGGCCAGTGGGACACAGAATCTTCTTCCAAAGCAGGGACAGGATTACAAGAAGGCTGTAATCACTTTATTGCAACAGGTTGCAAACATTTAGACTTTTCACACATCACACACGTCAACTTTCTGTCGGTCCCTTCCTAGATCAGGCCATACACATGTCATTCTGCTATTGGTACACATAGATCAGGTCACACACATGTCACCCTGCTA